AAAAAATACGTTTTATTCCTAAACTCATCAGCACGTCCGATTTCATTTGCATACACCGCTTCTTGAACGGTTTTAGTGTTTATCGCCTTATGTAGGTTGTTTATTTTTGTATTTATATTTTGTATAATATGTACCGTAATATTTCACTAATAACGTAGACATTGGTCAGGTTATGCCAAATATTTGCATCGATGGCCCCGTCGCCGTTCAAACCGAATACAAACTAGGCAATTCACATAACACAACGCCCGTTAAATAGTGGTCCTGTGTTGTTTTGGTTATTTTTTGCAGAAAAAGAAAAAAAAGAGAAAATTGAAACGAAATATCACATTAGTAATTGGTTCAATTGCCATGATTTGCAGCATCGATCAATATTGTGTATCTGTTTAGATGAGACCATATCTGGGTAAACCTGTACATAATTCGTGGTTCCAATCACTATTTTGGGTATATTTGTGTTTTTATATGTTGAAAACCAACATTATTCCTACCATTGTCGTCACATGGAAACACACTGCCTTCATCTTCTCTTATATGGGATTGGTATGTGCTGTCAATATGGAGAATCTTCCTGACACCAAGGAGGTCAAACATCTCTGCTTTCTCTGGGATAGCTGATGACATCATGTCCGCATCACAGTTATCCATGGCAACCAAACCAACCGTCCCTTTGATCTCCGTCTGTTTCCAGTATTCAGATGCAACATCGCCGAATTGTTGAAGAATGGGAAGAAGCTGATCAGTCGTTGTATATTTCGTGTCAAGTTGTATAGCCAGTACGCTCCGTTGCTTGCCTGTATAAAGACAAAGAAATCGTTATAAATATTACAAAGATCGTTACAAAAACGAACGATTTTCTCTACAAGCAATTGTCATCCGACCAACAGGTAACATGAGCTGCCATACATACCAATTTTTAAATTAATTGGTGAAGTAGTTAAGTACAGATATATATTTTAAACATTCTATGTACTTGCAACATCATGTCTGTAGTCAAATGTCATATCAATGAATAGAGTGTTTCTATGCAATGTTAGAAGTACATTCTGTTTGTATTGAATTTAAAACAGACATCGCGCGATATGATCAATCGTAATGAGCTTCTGGAATGTTAATGTACTAGGTCCTTGGATATAACAGACCAATTTTCGGATCAGAGATAGTCTTCTGTAAAAAATTATGAATCGAATAAAGCGACCAAACCATATGACTGAACAACTGTGTATGTACAATTGAAAAGCCAAATTTAATAAATCCATTGCATTCGTACTAAATTTTAAACATTTTAATTTATTCAATATGGTGATAAAAATCACGGCACCACATTGTACCTATATCATTTTTATATGCCATTAATCATACAATGACAACGCAGATTATTTGATTAGCAAGTTGTTAATGTTATATTTACTTGATATTGTGGGGGGGGGGGGTATTTAGGCTTATCTATATCAATACATCATTTGAACATAATCTGATATTTAGAGTCTATTTGAGACACGACGTTTAATTGACATCCGCCATTGACAATTGCAATTCACAAACAGACGTGGTTCGGAACGAAATTGGTCGATTGTAAACCATGCGACTAATACAATTTTCGGAAAATAAGTTGACCTGTTATCATCAACAATCTTTAACTGACCAAATAAGAATAGCCGACCCCCCCCCCCTCCCAACGATAAAAATACTTGTCCAATAAAGTAACAGCCTGGTTGACTTGAACTTCAAAACAACTCAGCCAAAACATTAGATCTCCAAGCCCATTGGTTGCTGCATTGATTTTTTTAAACATCTGGTTTGGTTAAAATCATATTTTGATTCTCATATTTTATTTACCAGCATCATTGAATATCATGCACCCAATCACTTCCACAGTCAAAGAATAATTTCAAAGATTTGGCATAAAACTTTATAAACTGATTTTTAAATAATTTAAATTAAGACTTACGGAATTGTACCAAACTGTTATGAAATCCGTCATTGATAACTACATTTGTAATCGAATAAACACAATATTGTGTTGAGATGTGCCACCAAATTGGGCTATTTTGTGGGCAAAAGTTTCTAGAGATAGGTAAATACCATATCATAATTTATATATGAATTATTAATATAATCAAATACATTTTCTAAAGGTAATTTTCGAAGTATAACAAGCAATTTTGTAAACGTTTGTCTGAAAGGGGTCATTATTTATTTCAGCATGTTGAAAAGCTATGGAGATCGGAATGTGCAGTTAGCACATCCATGCAATATTTCCAGATTGATACCTCGATGCATAATGCCGCTAATAATGCCACGGAGAGACAATAGAAATTTTCTAATACTCATAAATAGATGTAAACGTATGAACAGTCGCCATCGTCACATCGCATTCGGTAATAGCACTGTGTACTACACGCAAATCCTTTAACTGCTATAACGTATGGTTGTATAAAAACAATCCTTTACACTCTTACTTATTACTCGTGTTTTAATCATGTTATACAACCAAGATTATTTTAATGCGCAAACTAAATCACAGTGAAATACATGAAAATCTCCGCCATCGTTTTAGATGCAACTTTGTAGTGACCAATTATTCGATAGAAATTACTGTGCTTACCTTCCAAATCATCCACGGCTTCGCTGAAATATGTAGGCTGAAAAAGAAAGTATAGTAATTTGACAAATGTAATAAACCCATGACATCTCTCAATCAACATAAAACACATGTATGAATTATTATTGAAAACGTGTATGGCAGTTTTACCTCAGCCGTTTGATATGACCCAATCTCCACTTCATCTCCACTGACCTGCTCAGTTCGATACGTCAACTCATTGAATGATTCGATTTTGGGGCTTTGTGGATATGTCATCGACATGAGATTCAAATAGCCAAGTGATTTCATCATTGGATCCAATGATTGAATAGTGCTGGTCGTCTTAGCATCGGCAAAGATCGTTGTTTCGTCGTCGACTTCTGAAGAGTTAACAACAACACAAACGTTATGATTTATTTCCTTTTCACACAATGGTTTTAATATATTGTTAATAATTTGAGCAGTAATTATATACGATTACAGGCATATGCAGTTGCATACCTCTGAAATATTTCTCAGCCTTCTCCATAACAGACGGATCAACCTTAGCTACTATTCGTAAGGTGATTCCAGAGTCTGCTACCAAGGCCTTCATCTCATCTGTTATGAGAATTTTCGTTAATGATTCTTCAAGCTGACCATGTTTCAGACCATATTTAAATGTCAGGAATCCGTTCAAATCCCAGCAGCGGGCTATAAGTATGACTGATGATATTTTTACTCCAGCAAGGTTGACGTCAAGGTCTTTGAAAGCTTTGCTCATTTGTTTTCGCTCCATTTTAACAGATAAATTGCTGCTTGCGATTCGCTCCATTGTTCTATTGAACATTGTCACCGCTGCCCAATACAGAGCCCGATCTTTAGGCGTTCCCTCCACCATAATTGGGACTGGGATATCTTAATAATAGAGAAATTGTAAATTATCATTTAGTTATCACTTACATAACACATATTATTTACCGGGTTAGCGGGACGGCGAGTTTGTATCTTCATAAACTATGTAAGAAACAAGTTTGGCTTTAAAGCAGAATGAAGCGAGTGAGAACATGTCTGCATATCTACCCATATATTTTCTCTTGTACGGTACATCTGAGTCTGTACTTGTTCTTTTTCTCTTCATTCCTACTAACAAACAATTTTATCATAATGTAGAGAAGGAAAACTACTTGTAGAGAATAAATTTCAGTAACCCACGAATTATTAAACAATTGTTTTTTTCTACGTCGTGCATGCCATTGTATAAGCTGTTTTACCATGTTTAATTGTTCATTCTCGCTATCCAGAAATTCGCTGTTTACATCATGAAGCAAAGTGGGTATGTGTGATTAATTTTCTTGCAAAATTTGGTTTGTTTTTATGTCTGAATACTTTACATAGATGTGTTTTAAAACCTAGATTTTGAATGTGAATTTATGTTTACCTTTATGGTGTTTGAGTGGATACTCCTCTACCTGCTTGGCAAGTTTGTTTTCATTGGCCACTCTCAGAATGTGGGCTAAATACGTAGTATTGGTCCTACATATTATATTTGTTTCTTCCAGTGCAGTGATTAAATCTGCAGGGTCCTCGAATGATTCGAGTTTGCCCTGTGGTATTTTATTCCGGGAAAGACGTTTCATAATTCGGAAGACACCTGCAGAGATTAAAAAAATATGTAGAATTAAAATAAATATAGAGATGAAATGCATTTCAAAATTGTGCGTTTACAATTTGATTACTATGGAACACAACAGATTAGAATACAAATCTGCTTGAATTCATAAGCTGTAGTGGTGGGAAATGTGCACACTCTAAAAACAACCATAATCGTATATGTGGTGACATAAAATGGTAAAATATACAACTTTCTCAAACTCGAAAATGGAATATCAAAATCATTCATAAATTTGTTAGCACTTGTCGGCCTTTGGTATTTCGATTTTCCCAATTGTCGTTTAATTGTATATTTAGAAACAACACTGATTGGAACAAACTTGTTGTCAATACAAATACATGGTGAATGTTTCCTATTGGCTGTACGTGTATGATTGTACTTCAGCCAGGGGGGGGGAGTATAATGAATAATTCCCAGGACTCCACCACGTTCTTTATGTTTGACATATAAGTACGTACAAAATTGTAAACAACACTCTACTTACGTTTGTTTATTTGTCCTCCTATCTCTTCAATGAATTCATGAAATAGATCTAAGTCTTCTTCTCTATCATCTTCATCCGATGCTGACGACATCTTGAATGTCTATATACCCATGCGTATCGTAATGACCTTGAGATAATGAAAGGAATTGTAAACCTCAATATTGCCAATAGAACATAGGTCGCAGTTGAATATTAATATTCATTCTGAGCGAAAATTGTATATTTATTGTGATAAATAGTGCTTCACTTCACTGTAAAAACGATACAATTATACAGTTAAAACAGATTGTGAAATATTTGTGTAAAACGAAAATTGTGACAATAATAAAGAAAAATGTTTATTCATTTATGCAAAAATGTTGTTTTCATTTCAATAGTAAGAGACTGATTGATGCCAACCATGTATTTAATAAAATGTACATAATAATAAAAAAAGCACATATCATGCTTAAATAATCAATTAAATAAAATCGTTTCTGATAAATTCAATTTATGACAAATTAAAGTCCCGGAAATATTAGAAATGAAGATTTTGTTTGTTCAAACAGAGATAGCCCCTTTCAATATGGCTAATCGTGGTTCGGGATTAGAGTAATGTTGTACATTACGAATTCAATCTACATTTTAGATCAATTAATTGCATGTAATTCGTCGCTAATCCAATATGGCGACTAACATAGGTGACCAGTCATAATATACATATTATACTTTACAAACGTTGTACATAATATAGTACAAAATCAATCTGTGGTTTTATAAAATTGGTGTTTATCCGTTTTGTGGGGGAAACCAGTGTTTTAGTCAGTCCAATAGGGAGACAGTCACATAGTCGTTAACTACTAATAGTGTGTAGCATGTGTGTACATAATGCTACAAATATCATATTGCCTAAGCCATGAGAATTGATAAAAATAGAGCACTTCTATATGACAATATTCCTTTCAGTTTCAGCGATTTTATACAAACACGCTGACGGAAAAACAACAGACGAAACATACGACCAATTCCCAACAATAGCTGTAGAACTCCATGAGCCAGAGCCTGTTGGCGTGCACCTCAAAATAGAACTCATGTTACATTTAACTCTTTAAAACTCCAATTCTAGTACTTGGACCCGAGTCCCTAAAACAACTGGTCGAAGGAAGCCGGGGTAACGACACACCCTTATGACAACAATATAGACATAGTTCAAAGGTTATTTTTCGTGTTTTTTTTTTGTTATTAGTGGAAGATACCAAACGTTGACATGCCTGTTTTATTTAATACACTAAAATATTAAATAAACTGAATACACTTCTAGAGGTGGGATACACTATTGTTCTAGTGGAACTTGAAGGTAACACTTTTAGCCCCGAGTGTTTTTAACACCGACTACATGTGCGGGCGTAATACTGTGAACACAACGGTACTTAAGGTAGCAGAATAGTTTTTTGGGCACTTTTCACTTTTTTTTTTGAAAATCACACGAATAGCTCCCTAAGGCATGCTACATACATCGGTGTATTTATTTTATTGAAAAAAAAATATCTTGTACAAGTAAACTGATTTTTTTCTAGTGTGCAAACAAATGGCCAAGTTTTTGTTTATCCAGTGTACACCCAACTA